CTCATCCTCTCTCTCAAATAAATAAATAAAAAATCTTTTAAAAAAAAATAAAGAAGATGCTTTTATTTACTTATTAAAAGATTTTATTTATTTGAGAGAAAGAGATTGAGAGCGAGCATGAGCAGGGGGAGGGGCAGAGGGAGAGGGAGAAGCAGGCTCTCTATTGATTAGAGAGCTCGTTGTGGGGCTCGATCCCAGGACCCTGGGATCATGACCTGAGCTGAAGGCAGATGCTTAACCAACTGAGCCACCCAGGTTCCCCTAAAGAAGATGCTTTAAAAATTTTTTTCATTGTTATTTCTTCGATTTTTGTGAGACGGTGATCTGAATAATATAGCTTGCTTTACTGAAACATAAAGTTCTACTGAAATTTATTTACCCACATACCTGTTTTGGGACATTGGTTTTTTTTTTTTCCTTATTGTAAATAACATTGTGATTAAAAGAAATTGTTCCTGTATATGTATTTCTCCCATTATTTACTTCAGACTAATGCTGGAATTAAAATTGTTAGGGTCTGCTTGCTTTTAAGGCTTTTTGATACGTATTGTCAAAGTGCCCTGCATACACTGTGTTCTCTAAATGTTTGGAATTTTTGCATTTTAATAGGTATAAACTAATACTGCATTATTTTAATTTACTCCCCTCCCCATTCTTCACCCCCTCCTTTTCTTTTTTTAGAGAGAGTGTATGCTTACAAAGGGGCAGGGGGCAGCGGTGGGGGCGGAGAGAGAGAGAGAGAGAATCTTAAGCAGGCTCCATGCTCAGCGCAGAACCTGATGTGGGGCTCAATCTCAGGACCCTGAGATCATGACCTGAGCCAAAATCAATGATGGGACACTTAACTGACTGAGCCGCCCAGGTTTCCCATCTTCCCCTTTCTAAATAGGAATGTTTACTATGGTTATTCTGCCCCTGTTTCTAGCACGTTTTATTCAGTATGTATGGGGAGGGTGTTGTGTGTGTGTGTGTGTAAGTGGAGAGGGTAGATACTTTGTCTTTAACAAGAGAAGCTTTATCCTCTTCTAATATAGGGACTACCAAGCATCACCCATGTATGTTGAACTTTGAGATTAATGCCATTACTGTATAGAACTTTTAGATTGTCTTACTTGTGATAGGAGTGAATGTATTTTGTAGCATAAGTTGAGTGAACTGTAAATTGGTGACTAGAAGAATGGATTGCAGTAATCACTGATACTGTTCACCAGTAAATTTGGGTTCTCTTCTTTCTGGGCAGGTAGTAGAATTATACTTCCCTGCTCCTTTGAAGATAGTGTGCTTATGTGATATGCTTTTGTCAATGAAATGTGAGTGGAATTGACCTGCATAACTCTTAGGAAGAACCAGTTTGCCATTCATGTTCCTTCCGCCTATCATGCAGGAGATTGGAGTCTCCCTAAGCCATCTGGTTGTTTGGTGGGAACCACTGGTAGTGAAGCATTGCTGCTCCCTGCCACCCCTCACAAACATGCAGAAAAGCAGGAAATACCATTTTTTGTTAAGCCACTAAAATTTTTAAATTCTTTGTTACTGAACCATAACCTAGCCAATCCTAACCAACATAGATTACTGTAAAAGTGATCAGGAAAGCTATAAAGGCTGATTATCTTGACAATTATAAAAGAGTGGAATTTTAATTTCCTTTTATTGTTGTTACTTATGTGATTATCGTCTGTGTTTTGCTTTTAGATTACTAGTACTTATGTCCTCCTACTACCTAGGGGTTTATTGAGAGTAACCTGGATGTTAAATGATATAAATATTCCCCTCAGTGTTTGGTTTATATTTTATCTTCATTTACAGATCTTTTATTTTTCTCTGTAGAATTTTGAAATTTTTATCTAGTCAGATCAATCTTTTTATTTTTAAAGACATAATCAGTCTGAGATAGTAGATCTACAGTTGTTCCTAGAAAAGCTGGTGTTTTAAATTTGAAGTTGTTTTGTATGGCTAGAAAATTGAGAAATAGTTAAACCACTTTTAACTGCAAATATATATTTTAATAAATTAGCATAACCCTTGAATTGGGATTATGCTCCCAATTAGACTATTCTCCCATAGACTATTTTAAATCTGTGTTTAACCTGAGTTTTTATTGTAATTTCTTTCCTATTATAACGCTTTTTACTTTTTTTGTTTATTCTTCTTTTGGTATATGCCCTCAGAAATTGGCAGAGTAGAAATTTGAAAGTATATTGAATTTAAATTTTCTTTGATATTTTGGCTTTCTTTCTTTCTTTTTTTTTTTTTTTAAGATTTTATTTATTTATTTGACAGAGACACAGAGAGGGAACACAAGCAGGGGGAGTGGGAGAGGGAGAGGGAGAGGGAGAAGCAGGCTGGGAGCCCGATGCGGGGCTCGATCCCAGAACCCTGGGATCATGACCTGAGCCGAAGGCAGATGCTTAAGGACTGAGCCACCCAGGCACCCCTAAGAACTTTAATTTTTTAAACAGTATAAAATATATTTCCTTTTAGATAAGTGATGAAGAGAAGAGTGTCCGAGAACCAGAGATTCTTGCTTCATCACCCAGTTTGAGTGGGTCTAAGACGGAGTTGGAGTTGGAGTCAGTTTATAAGGTATGTAAACTTCTTAAAATACATCCTAAGTTTTGTTAAATATATCACATTGAGCTTTATATACATATTTAATTAACCCAGGCATATAGCCTCTGGTCACTACAGCTTCTACCTCTCCTGTGCAGAATTCATCTTCACCCCACTGAGAGTGTGCCAACATTCTGTGCTGGGCTGTCTGTCCTACAGAGCCTACACACCCTTCTAACCTTGTTTGGCCAAAGCAGGCCATTCTCTTAAAAGGAATACTCTCCTCGCAATACTTAGGCCTCTCCACCCCATGCTGAGCTGCCCCTTCAGGGATACTCTCCTCACCCACTGGGCTTCACCACCTTGTTCTGGATCACTGCTCTGCGTGATAGCTTTTTCATCACTCTTGGGCTCTGATGCCATGCTTGGACTGTTTTCCCCACCTAGACTATTTCTTATTCCATTTGGGCTCTGGCACTTTCTGCCTATTTGCTCTCCCCTGGCAAGACCTTCTTTAACCTACTCAGGTTCTGGCATCTTAAAGTGGGCTGTCTCTGCTGCTCTCTTTTCCTCAGCATATATATCTGCTCTGCTTGAACCCATTGAACAGCTTTTGGACTGAATAATTCCAGAAGGGGAAGAGGTGGAGCTGAAATTAATTTTAAAATTTGATAGCTGCAACACTATAATTGTCTTTGAAAAGGATGTACTGGTTATTGTCGGTGAGTGCCAGTAGTTTAAAATCCTGCTTCCACTATTTTGACTTTCCTGTTTCTACCATTTAGGCCATCATTCAGTCAGCTTTCCAAACTTAAAGTATGGGAATCAGTATTTATTCTTCCCACACCACACATTTCCCATTACTCTGTCTTCACATCATTTTTTGCTTCTGCTTGGACATTTTTATTTCTACAGTGACCACCTTAATAAGCTAGAATCATGGAATATTAGAGCTAAAGAACCCCTAACGGTCATTTATACCATCTCTCTCCCCTTCCCTGCTTAAATTTAGAAGCATTCATTAAATATATAGAAATCATAAGTCTGGTCAGTCACAGAGTTTGAACTAGAACTCATGTTTCCAAACTATCCCTGTCTCTTGCCTGGATCATTGAAATAAACCCTCTAACCTCCTCCTCTAATATGTTCTGTGTAACTGTTGTTTGGTGCTGTGTCATACACATACCACCCTGCAGAGCTGTTTGACTTTCCATGTGTGTCTGTCTTGTTTTCTCAACTAAGTGATGAACTTCTTTAGGACTGTGGTGTAGTCATAGAAGTGTGTTTAAAAAAACATGATCTGTTTATTGGGTGGTTTTACTGGTTATGTAGAAGAATCTTAGGCATATATTTGGGTTTTTTTTTTTAAGATTTATTTATTTGAGGAGTGCCTGGGTGGCTCAGTCATTAAGCGTCTGCCTTCGGCTCAGGTCATGATCCCAGGGTCCTGGAATCCAGCCCCACATCGGGCTGTCTGCTCCGCAGGAAGCCTGCTTCTCCCTCTCCCACTCCCCTTGCTTATGTTCCCTCTCTCGCTGTGTCTCTCTCTGTCAAATAATCAAATAAAGTCTTTAAAAATAAATAAATAAAGTTTACTTATTTTAAAAAAAGATTTATTTGAGAGAGAGCATGCACGAGGCGGGGAGGGGCAGAGGGTGAGAATCTTCAAGTGTACTCCCCACTGAGCGCGGATCCTGACTCGGCTTGATCCCGTGACCCATGAGATCATGACCTGAGCCAAAACCAAGAGCTGGATGCTTAACCAACTGAGCCACCCAGGTGCTTCTCAGGCATATAGATTTAACTCCTCTCTAAAACTTGGGTGACTAGGCAATTTGGGGATCATTTCTTTCACCTAATTTTTACCACATTTTAAAAAAGAAAAACTGTATTGGAGAGTGAGGATGATTTTCAGTTTACTCATACCATATTCTCATATCATAAAATTTTAGGATTGTTCTTAGGATTTTAAAAAATGAAAGTGGAGTATTATGTTTTTTAAATGATATTTACTGGTAAGTACTTCAGTAGCGGAACTGAACAGTTATTATTTCATTTCTTGGTGTTGAGATTAGCTTTTCCAATGTATTTTTCTAGTGAAAGAATGGAACAGATGAAGAAATTTAGAATTACTAGTAATTTTCACCACTGAACATATTGTATACACGTGATTGATGCAGAATAAAATTGTGGAATATATCATATGAGGGGAATGCAACGTGGTTAGAGGGCTTGAGTTGAGAGTTTAAAATCCTGAAGATTATAATTTGTAAATTCATGAGTTAAGAGTAAAAATGGTGTATTCTAACTTGGCTTATTATTATTTTTCAAAGCATCCCCTCTGAAATGAGCACATTTTTTGGACTGTCATTTCTTCCTAATATTTTTTATTTAGTTTTAAGGATTATAAATTGTTTTTTTGTTTGTTTTGATCTGGGACAAATTAATTTCTTGTTTAGACTTAGTATGTATGAAGATTTAGGAGGATTTCATGACAGGTACTGACTTATTTTCCCTGTTTCACTATGAATTCAGATCCCTTTTGCTGATGCTCTGGATTTGTTCCGAGGAAGGAAAGTCTATTTGGAAGGTGGCTTCGCTTATGTACCACTTAAAGACATTGTGGCAATTGTCCTGAATGAATTCAGAGCGAAACTGTCCAAGGCTTTAGCAGTGAGTATTTCACTTTATTTCTGTATTTACTTTATTTCCACATGGTCACATTTTCAATTATATACTCTTGGTAGTTTTGTTCTGTAATTCTTAAGAAATACTTTAATGTTTATAACGATATTTGAATTGCTTATGATGTTGAACTGGTAATTCTAGAACCACTAGGTTTTTATTTGTTACTGCCCATGGTTAGTTTTCTTATTTATCTTTCTTATAGTAATACTAATAGTGAGCTGATTAATTTTGTGAGAGGCTTCTGTGGGTCATGTCTTCAAGGTTGTGCCTTTTTTCCTTGGAGGTGGATTTCATATAAATCTCTTCACAATTATTGTTGCCTGTGTTGTATATGACCCCTAGATTTCTGTTCTAAATTGGTATTTTGTATCAGTAGAGGGCGATGTAGAAGAAAGCCTTTATATTAAGTAGTAAAAATGGTGATATGCTAGTGCTGTAATAAACAACCTACTGCTAAGTGAAAATGGTGGTAGCTGTTTGAATAAATAACATGAACAGGGATGCCTGGGTGACTCAGTTGGTTAAGTATCTGCCTTCAGCTCAGGTCACGATCCCAGGGTCCTGGGATTGAGTCCCACATTGGGCTCCTTGCTCAGCGGGGAGCCTACTTCTCCCTCTTCCTCCCACTCCCCATGCTTGCGTGTGCACTCTCTCTCTCTGTCAAATAAATAAAATCTTTTAAAAAACAAAAACATGATCAGTGCTTTTCAGTGGATTTGTTGGAAGTGTTACACTTTAGCGACATCTTAAAAATACATGTTTTGGTAGGGGATTTGAACACCCCACTTAACATCAATGAGTTGGTCATCCAGACAGAAAATCAACAAGGAAACAGTGGCTTTGATTGACACATTGAACCAGATGGATCTAACAGGTATAGTCAGAACATTCCATCCCTAAACAGCAGAATACACAGTCTTTTCAAGTGCACATGGGACATTCTTCAGAAGAGGTCACATGTTAGGCCACAAAACAGGTTTCAACAAATTCCAAAAGATTTAAATCATATCATGCATTTTCGGCAACCACAACAGTATGAAACTAGAAATTAGTCACAAGAAAACTTTGGGAAGAACACAAATACATGGGGTTTAAATAACATGCTGCTAAATAATGAATGAGCCAAGCAAGAAGTCAAAGAGGAAATCAAAAGATACATGGAAACAAATGAAAATACAATGCTAAGATTTTGGAGATGGCAGCAAAAGCAGTTCTAAGAGGGAGGATAATAGCAATATAGGCCTACCTTAAGAAGCAAGGAAAATCACAAATAAACGACCTAAGCTTACACCTAAAGGAGCTGGAAAAAGAAGAACAAACAAAGCTCAAAGCCAATAAAAAGAAGGACATAATAAAGGTTAGAGTAGAAATAAATGAAATAGAGACTAAAGAAACAATAGACTGGATCAATGAAATCAGGAGTTGGTTCTTTGGAAAGATCAACAAAATTGATAAACCTTTAGCCAGACTCATCAAAAAAAAAAAAAAGAGAGGAGTCAAAATTGGAAATGAAAGAGGAGAAATAATAGCTGATACCACAAAATATAAAGGATTATAAAAGAATATTACGAAAAATTATATGTCAGCAAATTGGACAACCAAGAAGAAATGGATAAATTCCTAGAAATATTTAACCTTACAAAACTGAATCAGGAGGAAAAAGAAAATTTGAGCAGACTGATTACTAGCAATGAAATTGAATTGGTAATCAAAAAACTTCCAACAAACAAAAGTCCAGGAGCTGATGGCTTCAAGGCAAATTCTACCAAATATTTAAAGAAGAGTTAATACATATTCTTCTCAAACTATTCCAAAAAATAGAGGGGGAGGGAAAGCTTCCAAATTCATTCTCTGAGGTCAGCCCGATACCAAAAGATACTACAAAAAAGAATTATAGGCCAGTATCTGATGAATACAGATGCAAAAGTCTTCAACAAAATATTAGCAAACTAAATCCAACAATCCATTAAAAAAATCATTCACCATGATCAAGTGGGATTTCTTCCAGGCATGCAATATTCACAAATTGATCAGTATGATAAATCTCATCAACAAGAAGGTAAAAGCCTTATGATCGTTTCAATAGATGTAGAAAAAGCATTTGACAAAGAACAATGTTCATTCATGATAAAAACTCTCAACAAAATAGGTTTAGAGGGAACGTACCTCAACATAATAAAGGCCATATATGAAAAACCCACAGTTACATCATACTCCATGGTGAAAAACTGAGAGGTTTTTCCCTAAGATCAGGAATGAGACAAGGATGTCCACTCTCCTGACTTTGTTTACTGGAAGTCCTAGCCGCATAGTCCTACAAGAGAAAAGAGATAAAAGACATCCAAATTGATAAGGAAGAGGTCACTTTCACTATCTGCAGATGACATGATACTGTATATAGAAAATCTGAAAGACCACTAAAAACTACTAGAACTGACAAATGAATTCAGTAAGGTCACAGATTACACAATTAATATATAGAAATCTTACATTTCTTTTTTTTTTTTTTTAAAGATTTTATTTA